GGGGGGGGGGGGAGGAAAATAAAAGATACAGAATTCTATTTATGGAATGCTTTCACCCTCAAGAAATGTGACACTAGATGGCTTAAATCCTGTCTCAAGAACAGCTACTATCATTTAGAAGTATTTCTCTGTCAAAGGTGTCTGGATTGTAGGCTATAGTCTTTGCTATAACTTTTTATATATAAGAAAATAAAAATAATTTTATTTTGATTTTTGAGCTGTCTTCACTTAAGACTGAGCTTCAGGTTTACACCACCATCACTTGCAATGGACTTCCAGTTAAATCTTGAAGACTGAGTCAATTCCCATCACCATTTACCACTGGCCAGCCAGCTGCAGTACAGTGGAAAGAAATAGGGTCTTTTCCTTCTCATGGTTCCCCTGCCTGGTTTTGTGCATACACTGTTAATCTAAGGAAAGAAACACATCAAAGTTAGGGTCTATTCCTCTTTTTAGAATTCATTTTAACCAAAGAAAGAGACTGAATTCTGAACCTCAGCCAAGTAAACCAAGCAAAATCTTAAGACATAACATACTGTGATTTTCAGATTTAAATTAGACTCCCCACAGTTTTCCATCTGACCACAAATTCATGAATAAACTATGATTTTTTTAAATTTTTTTTTTTTTAAACTCAAGTTAGCTTTTAGGTAAGTCTTTCTTCTCTTTTAAAATTCACTGTAAATTATTACTATGGTACTTAAAATTCCTAAGTCATTTCACAAGAGCATAATAGAGGTGAATGTAACAAATCAGTGTACCACGTCCTGGTTAGCACTGTGGCATTACATCTCTTACTCTCCATCCTTGACCTTTAATCATTAGCTTATATTTGGTAAATATTAATTTTCATACATTTCAGAATAGTGAAATAATCTGTGAGAAATTTTTAAATAGTCTACTGCATTTTTTTTGCCTGTTGATTCTTGTGAGTCTCATATTTTTATTTTCTGTAACACCTTGGACCAAGTTAGATTTGGAGTAGCAAGGTTTGCTGCCTGGAAGGGCTTCTTGAGGATGAGGAAGATAATATGTAGAAGCTCAAGATATGCTTGCACGAGTTCAGAAATTAGTCTTACATTTGTAAGGAGAGTAGGGTTTTGGCTTCAATAATATAATTAACTGTAACGATTACTACTCTAATAGCAGTTAGCAACCAGATTTAGAAGTCCTTCTGCAAAAAACCAAATCATATACATACCAGGTAGGTATTGTGTGTGTATAAAACAAACTATAGAAATTATATATATATATAATATGAGATATATATGATGATATCTCACATGTAGTGAGATGTAACTCCTTAGTTAACACAGTTGCTCTGGTTTACACTAGTTGCAGTACAGTAAATCAACTTGTCATTTTGCAAGTAGACAGGTATTTATTATTTACTCAGATTTTCCCAGTCCTTAAGCATGAAAGCAGTGTATCACAAACTGTGTTATCAGTTGACACGTTCAACACCTAAACACTGTCATGAAGAGGTGACACTACAAGTCATCTCAGGGGAAGATTCTCAACCTGTGACAAATGCAAGTGAATGTAAGTTGTTATACTTCTCTTCAGGGAAGATCTGTTAAAAAAAAAAGGTGAAAAAGGTGAAAAATTCTCCAAAAGTTTAGCTAACAGTGTACTGCTGCCCTTTGTTTTTTTTATATGTTCTTTTTCTAAACTCTAGTAACAGGCATTAGTAAAGTGTCTCAAGCAGTTGTCTCCAGAAGTGCTCTATGAAACGGTTGCATCTAGTAATGAGGTAAATTGAATGTATATATACATATATGGTCAGAAGTAGCAGAACTATAAGTGAACTGTTTGCTGAATGGCTGCAGTAGCACTGTGTCAGACAATTCCTACCTATTTCTTTTTTAATAGGCTAAAACAACTGCTAGACATGGGGCAGCCTAGATCTGAGGAACAGGGTTCCAGTATCTCCCAGGGAAAGGATGCAGAGGAATTCAATTTCTGTCTTACATGCAGGAAGGGAGCCCCTTTTGTGAAGCAGTCTAAACCACAGTTCAACTGGGATGAGTGATTTTAGGTTGCCCCTATATTAAAATCTCTTAAGATCCTACTGCATCCTAATAGGGCTGCTGGTGTGCATTCACACAGTCCAATGAAATGCCCTCCTCATTAAATGGGTTACTCAGAAACCAAAGTCAGTGCAGACTTTGGTTTCTGAATAACTTTAGATACAAAGTCAGGGTTGAAAGCTAGACCCCAAATGGCTTCAGGATGGCAGAGTAACTGGTGATCACTAGGATTTATTTAAAATTGTGAGGGCAAGGAAATCAGAAGATGAAGATCTTGTTATCTAGTCAGGTTTCGTCACAATGCAAGGCCTCCTCCTATTACACTGGTGTACTGTAAATTGCTAGGGAACTGCCAGTAAGGATGACAGCATTTTGTCACAGTTGTGGTTAAGAGATTCAATCCTTAGGGCCCCTTTAAATTGCCGCTCCTGTTGTCCTAATTCAAGTAGAATTTAATTGTTTTCAATGTGTGGGAGGAAGATTCAGGTGGAAATACTCGCAAATTTCTTTTCTGACCCAGAGAGGTATGCAAACAAACAGCAGAAGTGATCTTCGAGAGAAATTATTTTACTGGTTATTAGTGTCTGCCAGTTTTCATAGGTTCATCAGGATGCATGAGAATTCCTCTATAAAGTAATTTATGTCCTGTGCTACAGAGTAACACTTGACTCTTTTGATCTTTGATATTAGGGATAATGAATTTGTGGGCACCTTCAGTTTCCTCAGCATTGCCATGCAACCCAAGTGGACTACTGCTGCTTGTTCCATTTACTTGGTGATAAGAAACACATTATGATTATCTCAAGTGTAAACTGGAAGCAGCTGGGATTTTTAAAACTGTCAGTAGAACTTGATTAGAAAACAATGGTGCTTCATTTATGATCATACCTTTCTTAAATAGGATGAATAGAAGACAGACGTATCACTTTATAAACATTTTTTTCTTGGTTGCTTAAACTTATTTTGGCATTTATTCTCATAGTCATAATATAATGGGGATGAAACTTGTTTTTTTGTGGTTTTAATGAAAAATTTGGGATATGCCTTTCCAAAGCTGGGAAAATTATAGTTGTGCCTTCTCTCCCTTTTTAAAGGGTTTATACTTCTCTGACCCAGACCACCACACCAGCGGGTTAATACTATGCACCTGAGGCCTTTCTGTACTCTAGTACAGAAAGCTAGTTCCTTGTTAAAGGTCCTTACACAGATTTGGAAAAATATACTCGTTAATTCTACGTGTAAAAGCTTTTCAAAAACCTTGTGTGGCAACTTCAACCCAAACTGTTTTGCTTAATTTCTCTTCACAGGTATAAATGTGCTTCTAAAAATGTTGTTAAATGTGTGATGAAGGAAAGTCCTTAATTCTGTACAAATTACTTAAACAGCAATCTGTCATAATTGCATGCCAGTTGCATGCAGTCTTTCTTAGTACTCGTATACCTCCTTCTGAAGGAAAACATGGCTGTCATTCGTGATTATAATTTTCTTGAGGCATACGACAGTTCCTTCTTTTCTATCTTCTTGTCTGCTGTCAATGGGACTTCAAATGTTTCAGGTTTCTCTCCTGGAAAAATTAATAAAAATAAAAAGAGAAAGCTGAGCTCCTTCTGCACAGCTCCAGAGTGCTGTGGGAACAAAGAGCCAGAAGTGCTGGGAAGGAAGATGGAAAGGAGGATGGAAAACCAGTGGGAACAGGCAGGAGAAGGGCAAGGCAGTGGGGGAAGGGGCCATGGGGTGGTTGGGGGAATGGGAGCAGAGAGGAGATCAGTAAGCTGAGAAGCAGCCTGGTTAGGAGAGATGACTTTGTTTGGAGGAGAGAACAAAGGGGAAGGAGAGATGATGGAAGAAGCATAGCTGTCAAGTTACAAGAAATTCGTTATTCCTATCCACTCTCAGTCTGCACCCACGAAGAGGCAAACATAAACACACAGAGGGAGCTGATTAGCATGTGCAAAGAAACATGCTGCTTTTGCACTGGTTGTGACAATTAACTATCTGTTTTTTCTTCCCCTCTTTTCTTTTGGCACTTAATTCACTTTGGACAAAAACAATTTAATATGAAAATGTAAAGCTGAAAACCTAATATGGCAAAGCTACAGATATTGACTGCATTGATCTTGGCACACTGTAAATGTATGTATTTTTGGCAGCTCAGATGTACTGGTTTCTCTTAGATGGGGCTGACTGCTGCAAATAAAACTAACCTGACCCACAGTGATATGAGTTTCCTCTAAATCTAAAACTTAAATTTGTGGTGTGTCCTGCTCCACTTCTCCTGGGGTACAAGAGATTTAACAAGAAGAAGTTGGCACTCATGTCAAAGCTTTTATATTGTTTGTATATGTAACGGCTTTGTTTTAGGTTAAAAACTCCCGGTGGAAAGCATTTATTTGTAGAAAGCAGAAATGCCAAATCCTCCTGGGAAATTAATATATACCTTCGGTCACCAAGCAAACCATCTAAAATATGAAAAACAGAGCAATATTTACCTTTTCTAAGCTAACTAATATCAGTTCTTTACTGTAGGACTGAATCTTTTCCTCCTAGCAATATTACAGCGGAGTAGTCAGCATTTCAATGTAATCTGCACTACAATGCCCTATGTTAATGCAGACAGATACTTCAAAACCAGAACAACATGTTAATGGTCCCTCCCATATAACTCTTGGGCCTAACAATTAGTAGCCACTTTTATTAGCAGTTAAGTGCAGAAATATACCATTTAAAAATCTTACAACCTTTGTTCTGGATTTTAGGTGACTTCAACAAAATGTGTCTTTACTAATCCCTTTTGTAAGCTTGCACGTCTGTTGTAAATAGCATTTTTATCCCCTGGCTTGGTGCCTGGAGTATAAGGCAAAGAAACAAGGACACCTTGTTTTGCTAAAACTGTTGGTTTCTGTTTAAAATTTATTTTAAGATATGAGTAAAGTCTGGCAAACTTTCTTTCTTGGTCATGGATGAGGTTTTTTTCCAGGTCTTTATATGCTATACTTGGAATTCTGAAACTGGTAGTTGGAAATGAAACTATCTCCATGTGAATGGAGTTAAACTCTGAATTTTCAGTTATAAAATTGGATTAAGCATCTTTTTTTTTTTTTTTTTTTTTTTTTTTTTTTTACTAACCCGGAAAAAATGGCTCAAAAGAGAGAACATCAACTTCAGGAGATTCTTCCTGTGAACATGAATTGTTTATCAGAATAGCCATGCTCTTGTAAAGCAAGCTGGCCAGTCCCATTTTTGTTGTTTTGTAAAGTGTCATCACTGGCTTCACCTTTCACACATTTACAATTTCAGTTGCTTCTGTTTTAACACATTAGTTGTGTTCTGTGCAAGATGTACAAAACCAGCAGCCATTTCTGGAAGTAAGAAATGAACTTGTTCTCTAGGTGCCTTTTTCTGCAATGAAGTTACATCACCCTTACATATGCATCCCTGGCCCTGCTAGTAACTAGGGCGTTCAGGCCTTAAAAGCAATCTCTTCTGCATGGTTGCAGCGTGATAAATCTCCTCCAAAGCTTTGCTTACTTAGCAGTGGCCTCTAGTACATGGTCTTGTATAATACCTGCTGTAGGGCTTTTCTTCCAACAGTTGGTGGGGAGCTGCTGGCACTTTGACTGTATCCGTGTTTAAATGAGCAGAGTTGCCCAGTCAGTTCTCAGGGACCAGGAGGTTACATACCTGGCTAAATTTGCCTTGCAATTTCCAACTGTGACAGGAAAACCAATTTGCCTATCCATTTTATGTTCTAAAGAGTGAGGGAATCAATTTTTACATACCTAAAAATCTGCGGGTTTTATCTACACACAACTTTCTGAGGTTTATATATTTCCTTCTCCATCATAAACGATTACATGTTTCATTTTGTCGAAACTCCTAGCTCTCAGTAAATATTTCTAGTTTAAAATATTTAGTGACCCATCTATGAGAGGTTTTTTCTTTGCCACTGACCTTTTCTGACTCCTTTAAATGTTCTCATCTTTCCCATTGCAAAGTTGTGTCCTCTCATACAGCTGAGTGTCTTGTCTCTGCTACATGAATCTGTTGTCTGATTAATTCTATAAGCAGTCACTGAGTGTAAGACATCCCACTCATATGTGAGGCACAAAATCTTTCATAAAACAAAACTGAAAACTGTTTTCTTCAACATACCAAGAACATGAAAAGCCTTCTGAATATGTTTATTACACTGTTTCCTGGGAAGCTTTATTTATTGATTCATACTCAGTTTTGTTGCTTGTGCGTACTAGTACATGGAAGGTCTTACACTGGAAAACATTTTCTTCCAACTTAGTTGTAGCACAAAATTTTAAAATCACTTGTATTGTGATTATTGTATATTAGCTCAAGTGGAGAAATTCATGTTTTATTATACGAGTTTAAGGTTGCAGTAACACCAACCATTCTGAAAAATTACTTTGCAGATTTGTTACAGAAGAGGAAGATAAGAGTGGGAAAAATTCTTACCTTCATGCAGGGCCAGGGTGATTGTTAATACCGAGACTTCCAAGTATTCATATATAATCTGTACCTGATGCAGCTTTTTGAGAAATTATAAAAAGGCAATTTCTAGCTTCTACATTTTACTCATTCTTTTTCAGTTCAGGAGATTTCTTTTTTGTCTGTATAATTAGTCCAATGAGTAAATCTTGATTTAGCTTCCTAAAGTTAAAGAACAAACAAAAGTTCACCCCTGTATTGAAGAATTAAACCGTGTATATTAACAGTATCAGTCTTGACCAAGAGATTTATCATCATAGTTCTATTAGCCTCTTAACAAATACTTTAGTACTTTGCTATTTACTTAAGGAGGGAGAAAAATGCAGTATTTGCAGAAGTAAGCATTTTCACAGAACACGTATAATTTGAACTGCAAAAATCAATACAAAAAAATAATCTGGTTTTAGGTAAAATCTGAGTCCCAATGTTACTATTTATTAACCCAGTCAGAATGTTTGAAGTCAAGTATAACATCTGCCTGCCTTTGAGCCAGATTCCACCTTAAGGATAGCAACTTATTTCCACTGGGGCTCCCTTGGCTGAACTACATACCCTATATGTACTTATGATGAAAGGAGATCTCCCCTCTAGTAATGCTTTGGAGGTTTCATGAGTGAGTGTAGTACAGGAAGCTGGTTTGATGTGGGAGTCTGGCAGAGGTAGTCTGTGCTTCTCTTCTCATGTGAGTTAGTCCCTGTGAATCAGAAGGACATAGTAGGAATACAGCTTAACACTGAGCTGACCCAGAGTACTTCATGTCATTACTACAAACCGAAACAACACAAACTGAGCCAAGAACATCAGTGTTTTAGCTGAGAGAGTTTGGGTTTTCAAGTCAACATGCATCTTTCCTATTGTCAGACTGTGTCTTGAGATTTCTTCTTTGGGGAGAACAAATTATTTTACTTTTTTTTTTTTGTTGTTGTGCAGAAAGGAGAATATGTTTCAAAATTCATGCATTCTCATTTGTCATCAAATCTAATTCTAACCAGATCCCTAAAACCTGTACTTTTAAAGTTCCTAATACTATATTTTAGAGAAAAGACATTAATACCAACATGTGCCTGTCTATACACAGACAGGAGACTTGGAATCTCTGTTGCTGCGTTCAGACTTGAGTACAAAGTCAAACCCAAATCTCTCTTCAATTGATCAGAAATGGGACAAAGCCTCCAAACTTACAGAACTGAACATGATGATGTAGAATAAATGAGGACCAACATACCAGCACTGGATGCTTCAGAGGCACTTCTTGGAAAGTCAAAGGCACGGGTTTTGTTTCTTGTGGGGCTAAAGCACTGGTACTGGATTTCCAATGCTCTGGACTGCACGATACATCAAAAACTCTTCTGAAAAGGCTTACTATAAACAGTTAATTTATTAGACCTAATGTAAATGTCTAACACATGGTGCTATGTTTGCAAAATAATTACATAAATGAATTTGTTATTATAATAAATTTGTCTCTTCATTTATTTAGAAGATCTCTTCTTTGGTAGTACAGTATCAAACCTTCTCCACCTCAACTGAAAATAAACTGTTAGTAACATGTTACTCCAGAACACCTAAACAAATTTATCTAAAAATGAGCTGTGAAAATGGTATTTACATGCATTTCTGTATTCAAGGAAACTCAAAATTAATTTCTTTTAAGGCTACCAAAGTTGGCACAAATGGCACAAATCCCTGGAAGGTAAATATGTGCCTTGCTCTGTTTGAAGAAATCTGGCTTCAAAATAACAAAGTTATAGACTTTTGAAAACATGCATCCTGGTTTGCACAGCAGGTTTTTCTTAACTTCAGAAGCAAACACCAGGATGTGATGTTCTGAATATTCACTTTCAGTATATTTGAAGGCTCACACCTACTTGTATTTGAATGTGTGATTACTTTAAGAACTGCATTGTTCTGAATCACAGTTACAAAAGGAAAAAGGCGTTGGAGACCTTATTGTTTATAATAAATAAGGTTTCTGCTTTCAGTCAGAGAATGAGAGAATATAGGCATATTGCTCCCAGGAACTACTATTATTCTTGAAGAAATAAACTTTAGATAGGGCTTCCTGCAAGAATGGCTGTGATCTAGGAAATATGCTGATTCAAATCATTATGCGGAGAAAATATACTCACATTTCTGTGACTCCATTATCTTCATTTCTCAATTCATTGAAAACTTTGCATGCTTTTGAAGATCTCTTGCAGTGCTGTCCCTGCTGCTTCTTTCTGGCCAAAACTGGAGATGTGTTTTCCTCTTTCTCTTTCTCAGTGGCACCTGGTGATTTATGTTCTCTCAGAAAAAAAAAAAAAAATCATCTTGGCATAGAAGAAACACAAAATTGAGTAACATTAAGCAACTCTGCACCCTCACAGCAGAATACTGCAAACAGCTAAAAGGCATCAGATATGGCAACAATAAATAACATGCTCAGAACTGAATGTATCTTTACCTCAAGCTTTGGATAATATCTGTTAGTTACTAGAACTATTCACCACATTTGAGCCTCGATAATAGTTTTAGACTGAATTTTGGAAGGAATAAGAAAGTATATTTTTGCCAGTTAGCATGGTGGGTGAGGTGAGGGAGGAAGCCCTGACTCCTCATGAGTGAGAGAAGGTGGATAGGTGAGATAAGCGGAAGGTTAGACATTTAAAGCAAGTGCTTAAAAAAAAGGGAAGATAAATGCTGTCAAAATGAACTAATGTTTTATGTAGGTTTGCTCTACCAAACACTTATAGGTAATACCTCTACACACACTGCTTTTTAAGTACACAATATAAAGAAATAATCAGAGGAGTCATGCAAGAGAAGCCTGTGAAAGAACAGTGTTTAAAGATTTTGTTTCTTTGGAAGAGCCATACATCCCTAAATTCAGTAAGAATACCCCACAGTCTGAGACTACCATAACCAATTCATGGGTTTTGCTGGGTCTGATACTCTTCAGTATTAGCTAAATGAGGGAAACATTTATTTATTTATTTATTTATTTATTTATTTATTTATTTATTTATTTAACTGCTTTAAATAATGATTCTTATTTTAGTCAAATGTCCATCAATCATATATCAAAAAAAAATTATCAGAAATTCATTTCAAAATAATGTGTCTTTACTCTCATATTTTCCCTTTGGCTTTCATATATATCTTATTATTAGTAAATACTCAGCATTCCCTTTTATGGTGCACTATAAAAATAAGAGCTTACTCCTGGCCTTACTACGGTTCTGGACTCATACCTGTAAACTGGTGTTCTGTTAGGAACCTAAGCGTTACTTTTAGCTTATTATTTTTCAAAGGCAAATAGCACCCACGGCTCATTTTCTGATACCTAGGATCCTGATATCATTTGCTTGAAAGGCTTATCTGTAGATATTAGATATCAGTAGATATTAAAACCCAGTTTTAAAGCCTAGAAGTTCTAAAAAAAAAAAGAAAAAAAAAAGTCTGATTTTTTTTTTTCCTGGTTAATATAATATTTCTAACCCGTATGGTAACAAAACCATGAAATTTACATCCAAGAACTATTTAAAATGTATTGCTTTATGCTTTCAGGCAATGTCTTTTAATTTAATTTTCTTTTAACTAAAATTCATGAACAAGGAGAGGTTGAAAAGAGAAGATGCAGACTCTTGTCCTTCCAATCTTCTGGGCAGATTTACCATTGACTCTACCAGAAGTGCAATTCTTCAAAAAAATCTTTAAAATAAAAATTTTAGTTAGTTTTAGCTCTCACAAGAACAAATTACAAGTGCTAGAGGGCATTCAGCCTACAGTGCTCGTCTGCTCACCAACTACCACTCTCAGTATTATCAGATTTCTGCTACCTCAGTCCTGAACTCAGCCTTATGCCAATTATACCAAACTGCGTAGGGGTTCCGAAGGTTTCCACATCAAAAGTCCCTAGTACCTACCACCCATCTGCTATAAGCTTTCACTGCAAAGTAACTCATTTTAGCTTAGACCCACACACACCCCATATAGCAATACTCCAGAAAAGTGCTTTAGTTCTTACTTTGCCTTACAAGTTCTTCATTAAAGAAAACAAAGCAGAGAAGAAAGCTGTGATCATTTGATTACTAACCAGATCATGAATGCTGTACACATTTTCAACAGCTGCAAACTGGTTGTTTTTGTTTCAGCTTCCTGCTCCAAGTAACACCAAATACAGAAACATATTTGGAGAAAAGCAATAAAGTTCATCAGTCTCTGAATATATAGCAGATATTTTCATTACTGCCAAATCACTGTCCCTTATGCAATAGAGGATAACTGGGATCTAACCAGGAGAGCACTTCTTTTAACAACAAATGCAAGTTGCCACTCTGATCCTTCAGTTCACATTCCTAGATCGAGATGTATTTTATTTATATTTTATTGCTCTGGTAGTTGAAAAAAAAGGACTTTGAAATGGGAATACAGTAATCCAGTCTTAATGCAACTGAGATTTTCTTTAGGTGTTTATCTGGCCCTCTGTCTTTAAGGCCTTTTGGTGCAACACAAATGTATTCATTCATGCAACACAGAGCATGAATTACAGCAAATTTATAACCTTGCTTTGTCAACATTTGGTGTTACATGTGGAGAAATAAATCCAAAGTTTAATCAGCTTTTCAGGTACCTACTGGATGGTCTCTTCCTTTTTTTTGAGCACATGATTAACATAGAAGCAGTGGGGTCATCTTATTTTAATGATTTTTGATATTTGTGACTTTTTTCGCTCCATCATTTTGGCACTCATTGCTTAACAATTGTGAATGAAACCCTGCCGTCATTTTTGCAAATGGGGAAACAAAAAGAAATGCTTGTAAAACAAATGTTAGTATAACATCTAAAATTTAACAGAAATCTGTTACACAGTGGAGCTATTTGTTAACTCGGAAGGCCTGAAAATGTCTTCATATAAGATAAAATTAAAAATCTTCATATATAATGACAGCAACTGGCCTCCTGGACTATGCCATATTAAGAAAGGCAAGACAATACATATGATACAAGTAAAAAAGGTTTCTTTCATGTTGGAAATATTTCTTACTCCTTTTAGAAGTTCCGTACTATAGGTAAAAAATTATTAGAAACTGTGATTATTATAAATATTATTATAAACTATGAGCTTACTTAAAGGAATTTTCATATTTGGATCAACTAGGAGATGAACACTGTCCTTATAATCCTGTATAACACTTGATGTTTAATGACCTCCTGAAATTCCTATTCACTTACTTAATTTGATAAAGCCTTGAATTAGACTAAGAAATACTGTAATTAAAAAAAAAAAAAAAAAGTTAAAAAACCGTATGGTCAAATTACAGGTTTCTACTGTATTGGAATAGCTATAGAGAGATTTAATATTCTTTATAAAATGTAATTTTTATATTTGTATATGAAAATAGACAGTGTTTAACTTCCCCTATTCTCCTGACTGGTCCAGCAAGCAAATGTGACTTGTCACTCTCTGCCTTTCATTATTTCACCGTGTGACAGTGTCACTCATACATGTAATGTTCAGCTTGTAATTTGTAGTGAATAGATAAACTATCATTAACGACCTTGAGTACCAATTTTTAATTGCAGCAATCTTTAATTTTTTACATGTGTATGCTGACAAAATCATCTTCTTAATTTTGCTTTCTATATGAATTCAGCAGCTTTGTTGCCTCCCAAAGGAAGTAAATCTGGTAAAAAACCAACTAGGTATTTTATTTCTAAGAAGAGTTATATGATCTCTAAAATTCTTGAGTGACTTGAGGACCAACTGTAAGCTAAGGCTCTGGAGCTGGGCTTCAAAAGACTTCAGGAATCATTCTTAATGCAGGATCCATTTTTAATATATAAATTACTGGTGTGGGTGACTCATTATACAACACCTTCAGCATTCTGTCTTCCACTAGAGTTGAGGCTAATGAAAGTGGTAGGGCTGTACAGAAACAAGAGCAGGGCCATATGCTTGGTGGGCTGCTCAGCTGAGCACTGAAAGCAACTGATTGCAGTACTGTGTGGGCTGGCTTTTCTGTCCCGTATGTAACACCAGGCAAGAAGTTATACTGAAGAAAACTCTTGAAATAGCAAATTAAATCAGACACAATAGTGAAGCCTGATACCATCTTTTGAAACAATTTCTGAAACCAATAGGCTGCTATCTTTAATGTTTAAGAACACTTGTGACATCCTATGGCTCTGACCCTCCAATATGCCTGTACCTATGTGGAGTCTCTGGCCCTCAGTAAGTTGTTTATGAAGAAATCCTTGCAGAGCCTGGTAAAAACAAATCCCTGCTATGAAGAACAGCAGAGAGGGAAAGCGCATCTTAACTTTCATCTGGAATTTCCATCCTCAGGACTTTTAAAGTTGTATTCGGTTAAGTGGCATCTCATAACCGCTTGTAACACATACAGATTTAAATGCATACAGCACTGGTTCTGTGAGTAACTGAGACTGCTCATGTGCACTGTGTCTTTGGATGACTGGGATTTAAAGAGCAAATGTTCCCATATCTGCTTACTGGAATATCTGTCCCTTCACCTTTGAATCCAGATTAATACTTTTTTTTTTTTTTTTAAAGAGTCACCAAAATCCTCCCACACTTAGCTAAATTATTTTGCTTTCTGCCTTTACAGACTATATCCACTGTTACTAGACGCTCCTCCACTTTTTCATAATTTTGTCCTTCAGGCATCTGAAAAAACACCAAGGTGGAGAGGATCAGGGCTCCTGGGAAATATGGGGTTAACGTCATAACCCAGGCTTGTTGCCATGAATAGGAAATAGCTTACCTCTGCAGTCAATTTGCCTAATTGATTAGAAGCCTGATTGCATCCCTGAAGGGCTAGATGCCCTGAGGGGATATGCATGCACAGAGGCAGGGAGCTTCTAGGGCTGCTTCACAGAAAGGGATTCTCCTGTACTGCTGGAGCCTGGGCTGAGAAATCATTTTCCACTGATCGCTGGTGGATCAGCGCTCACGCCCATCTCCAGCCGGCTCCCAAGCACGACATCAGCTCAGTGGACTTGGAGAGAGGGGCCCAGCAAGAGAAATCCGAGTGCTCCTTCCTCCTGGCTGCTGTCGGGCCCAGCTGGCCCAGAAGCCAGCCAGCCTGTGAGGACACTCAGCCCCCTGTGGCGAGGCTCCCCGGCACAAGAAATGTTGTTTTGCCCACCCAAACGCTCCCCACCCTTAAGCCGTAAACTGTTTGGTTCTTTAGTCTTTCCTGCTCCTTTGCTTCTCAGGACTGAGGACCAGACATGCCCAAGTGACAGAAGTCCCAAGGCTTGGCAAGTTTCCCCAAGGGTCCCCTGAAACAACCGGAGCGGCTCCGTGGTTCCCTAATCAGCTCAGTGAAGTGGCCCTGTGAAGCCCAGTGGCAGGAAGCAGTTTCCAGTACAGTAACCCAGCCCCTTGTCTGGGCTTTTTCAGCTTGGCTTCATTACTATTACCATGATAAAGACCAGCATTTTTTTTCTACTTCCCTTTTGCTCCTTCAAGTCTCCACTTGGCTCTTGACTTTTCTGAATTTCACTTTGATACCTTGACACTTCAGCTGTTCTCCCAGACAGATATAATTACAAGAGTTGGAATAAACTTTTTTTATTTTCTTCTTTTTTGTCGGGTTAGGGGCTGAGGGAGTGAGGAGAAATCATGGGTAACAGATTGATGCTGTGAAGGTTTGCTGGGAGAACTCACCTCCTCCCAAGGTTCTTCAAGTCTTCAATTCAGAGGGCCCAGAAAGCTGCAGCTGTGGGAGATAACCCAACATTCAGGTTTAGCATAAAACAAAAATAGCAAAAAGTGAGCCCAGTGGGACAAACAGGGATTGCAGCCTGCTGACAGTGTTTCAGTGTGCAATACTCCACCTTCTTCCAATGAGATCTCACCATTCTTACCTTGAGAAAGAAATTGACAACAGTTCAGATTTTAAAAAGAAAAACCCATGTCAAAGCTCATTCAAAACATCACACTGCAAAACAGCATGGTAGCTTACAGTCTGCTACAGCACTCATTTAGTGCTGGTGTGGAGGAAAATGCCTTTTATTTCTCCCCCTCAACCCCCCATATCTCCATCACTTGCTGGAACTCCTGGATAAGTCCCCAAACTCAACACAATGTGCTTTCCTTACCTTGCGGCACTTGGTGACCACAATGTTGCTAGGGCTGCAATGTACCAAAAGAATAATAAATGTGTTTCTGGGGCCCCTTATCAAAAGTAATCTCTCTGATACAGACATTACAGAATGCAGTTCTACTTTCCTGAGAGCAGAAACGAGTCACAACTTCAGTTATCCTTCACCTGGGAGTGGTTTACAGAGATTCTCCTTTATGTCAGTACAAAAAAAGGCAGTCAGCTGATGAGGGCATCGCAGCCATCATCCAGTCTCTAATGAAGTGTAAAAAGAACAATGGCAGGGGTTAGGCTTTTACTCTGGTGACATTCATAAACCACTTGGAACCAAGATATATGGGAAAAGTGAGCCTAGACTCAACTGAAGAATTTCTGTTATCTCCAATTTAACATTTAGTTCTGTCACTAGACATGCTACTACATTATTGGAAATGGGGTCTATCAGGAAGATACAATAGATCTTGTTGCTTTTTATCCTATTCCTTCCAACTCCTTTTTTTCTAGGCCATAAGTCCTTGTACATTCATACACTTCACTGCGGCTCCTGATTTAGTATTCTGAGGACCACTACTAGAACCACTAGACACAGCTTTAAATCCTTTTCAGAAAATACATTTATATTCCTCCTGTATTAATCTTAGAGTCCATAATACATCATGCAGTTACCTGGATGACAGAGTAGTGGATGCATTTGTTCAATCTGTGAATAACACCAACTGGGAAGAGACTACCAGAAAGCTGGGCTTAGAATGCAAAGTGATTCTGACAAATTGGAAACATGGTCTGAAGAAGCGGCAGGCTATCCAGCAGAGAAAAATGCAAGACAGTGCACACAGGCAAGAATAATCCACTATATGAAGACAGGCTGCAAAACAGCTGGTTAGAGAATGAGCTCTACAGAGATTAAAGCTGAGGGGCTACCAAGGATTGCAAGCTTAGCAAACCCAAACACTGTAAGAGGAACTATAAACCTAAGTCCAGCCTAGAAATCACAAAACATACTAATTCAACTGTATGCTGCGTTATAGCT